ACCTCGCTCAGCCAGTGAGCGGGAACCGGTCTGTATGTGGGATCCGAACCCGCGGCGGGAGCACCGCTGCACTCCCAAGCGGCGCACTGTAGCAGTGCGCCACCGGGCAGACCCACCATTTATTTAGATGCTAGCACTAGTGTGTTGAAGTTATTGTACCTGGAATTAGAAGGGCTTCTTTCTAATACTTTCACTTCTTATAAGTAAAATCCCACCAAAAGTGAAGATGTGGGAGAAGAGCATCCCCTAAGACCACAGGCCCCCTGGGCAATTAGTGCATGCTGCCTCTTTGTAGGAATGGGAAGTTTCTTCATCTGCCATGAATATTCATGGTTTCTATATATTACCTTTGTGGCTGGTCATTATTGATGGAATGTTTTATGAAAAGAAACCAATTTGGATATTTGGCTTAAAAGTCTCTCTTTTTAAACCAAGATCTCTTCCTTCAAGGATAAACAAATCATGTCCAAGATTCCTGTGTGACCCCTACACACTAGAACAGGGTTTCATTTTTCTAGATATTACAAACCTTGGTGAACAAACAGCATATTTTGAGTTCCAGGTTGCTTCCTCTTGTATTTTCTTAAATTTGCATGCTTTATTGCATTTTGAGACTTTCTTTTATTTTGTTCTGTGTATCTGTTGACCTCTTGGATTTTACACAGACCTGCCCTAGAAAGCAATACCATAGATTAATCAGTTGGTACATTACAAAGTAAACAAGAAATACGGAATCCTGAAATATTTGTTTGATATCAAGTATTAGAATAACCGCACATGTTGTCTGTTTCTTCTTCCAAAAAAATGGGATCTCTTTTGTGGGAGAGTAGGTGGCAAGACCCTGTCTTTCCTCAGCCACTTCTGGGTGTGTCTCCTCAACTGAAGCTTGGGGTGTTGGAAAGACCATGGGCTTTTCCAGCTGAGCAACCTTCAGCAACTCATGTAGTGTGCAAAAAGGAAGTTTGAATTCTAATAGAACGTTTAACATGTCTTTTATGATTCAGACTCTTGGCATCTTTAACAAGAAGCTGTGTCTCTAAGTTTAACAAGACCTTAAAAAAAAATAAAAAATAAGGTGAAGGGGGAGAACTGTGGAAGAACAGATAGAAACTCCAAGCTTAGGGAATCCTGTTTTTCTTATCACCTGTGTCTTTCAGTTAATTTTTAGGCCTCCAGGAGCAATTTTTTGACAGCCCTTTAGAGAGGATGGGCTCTCCTTCAAAGAACCTCCTCTACCATATCTGGTCCTCACCCTCTCTAACACCTCCCCTAGGAGAATCTGCTGCAGTTTTCTTGGGGAGTGTTTTCAGAGGGTAATAGAATTTTCAGAGTAGGAGAAATGAAAGAATCCTAGAAACATGAACTTTCCTTTGCGGCTGTTCATGTCATGCATGTACTGTGAGACCCATCTGGAAAGATTTATGGCAGCCACACACATAGTTTGCTAACTGTAAAACACACAAATGAAAATAGCCCACGAACATGGAAGCTGGCGATAAGGGCCAGTTGGATAAAGAATCAGGCACATAGACATACTAAAAAAGAAAGAGAGAGGCTCTTCTGATCCGCATTTTTAAAACTAAGCTTGAAACAGTTAGCTTAGAAGCAAAGGGTAATTTTTTTTAAAAGAAGATGACCGATAAGGGGATCTCAACCCTTGGCTTGGTGTTGTCAGCACCACGCTCAGCCAGTGAGCAACCGGCCATCCCTATATGGGATCCGAACCCGTGGCCTTGGTGTTATCAGCACCGCACTCTCCCGAGTGAGCCACGGGCCAGCCCAGCAAAGGGTAATTTTAATTGCCTTTTAAATTGTCTTAAAATGTTATATTTAAACAAAAAATAGTTTAAAAAACACTGAGCAAAGTGCCAGCTCATAGCCACCACTGAACAAATATTAGTTATGGTAGGAAATGTTCAAAAAAAACATTGATTGAGGGCCGACCCCGTGGCGCACTTGGGAGAGTGCGGCGCTGGGAGTGCAGCAGCGCTCCCGCCGCGGGTTCGGATCCTATATAGGGATGACCGGTGCGCTCACAGCGCTCGCTGGCTGAGCACAGTGTGGCCGGTCTCAAAAAGGACAAAAAAAAAACATTGATTGAAAAAAAAATTTCACCCAAACGTCTCAAGATATTGTCTAGGTGGCCCAGTTGATTCCTGTATGGTTGTGCCTTATTTTGTATTTGATTTGCTTTGTAAATTTTTTAAGGCAAACCAAAAGAGATTTGGGTTTAGGGACGAAAAAGAATAAATACTAAGATTCTGCTAGCCCACTCCCTTCATTTTGCCTAATTAAGAAATATAGAGTTGCGTTCTTTAAAGAGTTTTAGTTTTTCTATTCTTGTTTTATTTTATTTTTTGAGGAATAAACTGCCCTCTCTTTGACTCTGTCCTTTGCCCCTCCCTTCTGTAAAGTAAGTATAAACCCCAGTGAAGGAAGATGGATTAGGATCTTGACTTCTCAGTAAATTTGTACCTAAGGAGGCTAATTGAAAGCCAGGAATGTTAGCCCGTCCAATTAAAAGCTAACGTCAATTCCAGGGTCTTCTCTTTGTTAAGGCTTCTATGATTCTTAGACTCTTTCCCATACTTTGAAGAAACCAGGATTTGGCAGTTATTGCCAAGTTCAGTTTGCACAGTTCTTTGTGTGAACTTAATAAAATTCAGGTTCACAAAGGTGGCTTTCTGTTTGTTTAAAAAAAAAAAGTAAACATGTGTTTATTGCTCCCTCTAAGGTGACTGTTTCTGGTGGGGTCCGTCATTCATTAAAGCTTGTCTGTGCTGTGAGCTATTCATTTGACTTTTGATTATCTCAGTGTGGATTATCCAATTTGGAGCTTACATCCACAGCAAATTCTTAATTCCCTGTTATCCTTTTCCTGCCAATCAGTACATAGTTAGGCTACCCCCCCTAGTCACAAACTAATGTATGTTTAGATAATTTTAAGCAATTTTAGCATTAGGTATAATTATGAAGAAAGAAAATTAACTTTTTTCCCCCAATCATATAGAAATTTATTTTGCTCTGTATTTAAGCAATTGCCCTTCATTAATGTGGATTATCTAAAGTAGCCTAAATAAATGAAAATTGGGTTACGTTTTAACAAAGCATTTTGCTGCTGTTCCTTTTAGGAATGGAAGACATCGTAAGGGGAGCTCAAGAGCTTGATAACATCATCAAGCAAGGATACCTGGAGAAGAAAAGCAAAGGTATTGATCAGACCCACAGATCGCAGAACATTCCAGGAAAGGAAGAGAAATGAGGAAAAAGAGGGCTAACCTATCGGGTGCCTTCTCTGTGCCCAATACCGTGCTAGGCAGGTACAAGGTAAAAGCAAGGCAAGGAAAGAAAAGTCTGGTGTGTGTCGTAGGCTGAGGAGAGATGGCCCACATATTCAGCAGACTGTGAGCTTCAGCAGGATAGGGATTGGTTCTGCCTTGCTCACCACTGTATCCCTAATGCCTGGTACACAACAGGTGCCTAATAAAACTTGTTACATGAATGAATGAATGATATTCTTGTCCTCATCTCGCACTGTGCTCCCAACTGTTTTGCAAAAGTGTAGTTTTTATATTATATGTGAAGCAGCCTACTTTCAAATTGCAGACAAGCCCAACTCTTGACCTTTAACTCGTTCCATTAGAATAGGTACTGCTAGGGTTGGTGTCTCAAGTTTAATGTTCAACAGGCAAACGAGCTTAGCACAAAAAAGCCTCTCTTGCGGCTATGGGCTGGGGCATCATTTCGGTTTGTTAAAGCCAACATATAAAGATGTCATGGATAATTTGAAAGGTACAAGATGAAATTAAAACCTCAAAGATATAAAGGAAGCTAGATTAAAAAAAAACAGTTGTGAGGGCACAGGGCGGGCAACCCTGTTTAGAACTTGTACCTCTCACTGAGCTAGTCCTCTGGACTCTGAGTCAATATGGGATAACCTGTGGGAGTGAAAGGGAGGGTTTTACAGTCCATTAACCTGGGAAATAAAACAACACACTGGACTGTGTGTTGTTGGATTTTACAGACTCTTCAGTGACTGTAGTTACCTGAATTTATGTCCCCTACTGCTGTTCTGTTTAGATCATAGTTTCTTTGGATCAGAGTGGCAGAAGCGATGGTGTGTTGTCAGCAGAGGCCTCTTCTACTACTATGCTAATGAGAAAAGTAAGTGTTCTTCATTTGCACAGCAGCTTCTCACTCCTGGATGCAAGCACTTCGTAAATTCTTAAGCACTTACATCTCAAGATAGCAGTCCTTAACTAACACCCATAAAGGGACATGCTTAGGGAAGAAACAGGCTTGGGTAAATAATACCTTACCCACCACCAAAAACACAGAGGCCAATTTAGAATTATTTCCCCTTTAAACACTAAGATAGCATGATCGGCATATCAAAGGGTTCTTTTATTATGACTAATGACAAAACAGTATCAAAGTTGAATGTTTTGGCATTCTTTAAAAAAAAAAACAAAAACTCCAAACTCTTTATAAGCATTAATCACATAGCTAACATATTGCAAAAAAATATTTCTGAGAAAGATTTAAACAGATTAACAGTGGCCCAGAAATAAAACCCTAAATTTTGGACCCTCAAAAAGCGTGCTACAAACTCGATCTTACCACTGGGAAGCAATCTAGTGGACATCCTATAGCCATAGAGTGTTGAGATCAGGATGGTTGCTGTGCCCAAGAGGCGCCCTTCAGCCAGATGGCAGCTGCAGCGAAGTGTTGACTCAGGCCAGAGGCAGTTTCTTAACGAGCCACCACTGACTCAATCGAGCACAACACTCATGAGCTGTCCCTAGAAGGCCTCCCATCCATGTTTAACACAATTGCTTATTTCATCAGAAGGAATAAATGACATAAACACAATTGGCAGCTGCCACAGATAAATACAAGCTAAAAATTATCATTGTAGGTGAATGCAAACTGTCAAATAGGAGATACCCTTCTGCAGAGGTGGACTGCCCAGAAGTATTTCTAGGAAGCCAGAAGGAGGCAAAGTAAAAAAAGGATCAATTCTCGCGGGGACTTCCCTCAAGCTCTGCCACCTTCATCCAGAGGCCAGTGATACCGATAGAGTAGACACCCTTCTTTTTCCTTCCAACCATTTTCTGTTTTTCCTCTCTTCTTTCTTTCCCAAACTTATTCCTCTCCCAATGTCTGGATATCCAGTCCAGGGAATAATCAGACACCCACTCAGTTGCCTTTGGACTTCCTGCACCTTTGGCACTAAGGTAGCAGAAAGAACTGCAGCTTTGCTAAGCGACTTGGAATCCTTAAGAGTTGCCCTTGGGCTTTGTGGCGATTGCTTCTCCCTGCCTCTCGGCCTGCAGCAGGCGTCACTGACCTTCATCTTCCACTCACCATCTCCGATTCCTCAGAGCCTTTCCCATCTAGGGGTCAAGTGTGAAGCCCTGCTTGGAAATGACAGCAGCATAGTCCAGAAACTGAGCGACAAGTCCCCTGTGTCCTTCCAATCCTCAGCCCACAGTCAACTCCAGCAACCACAAGTTCTGCTCTAAAGTCTAGGCAGATAAGCCAGCCACGTGTTATTTTCTTATTTTAAACCTTCAAACTAATAGGACATTTGTATCATTGTAAAAATGTTTACCATTTGATGGAGTTTGGATGTGTTTTCTTTTTGTCTTTTTTTTTTTTTTTTTTTAACTGACCGATAACGGGATCGCAACCCTCGGTGTTGCACCCGCACCGCGCTCAGCCAGTGAGTGGGAACCGGTTTCCACATGGGATCCGAACCCTTGGCAGGAGCGCCGCCGCACTCCCAAGCAGCGCACTCTCCAGTGCGCCACCGGGCTGGCCCGGAGTTTGGATGTGTTGTCCCCTCAAAACTCATGTGGAAATTTGATCTCCAATGTGGCAGTGTTGGAAACTGATTGAGTCATGGGAGCGGATCCCTCATGAGTGGATTAATGTTCTCCCTGGGGGAGGAGGGGTAGTGAGTGAGTTCTCGCTGGATTCGTTCCCACAAGAGCTGATTGTTTATAGGACCCTGGCATCTCTTCTCTCTCTCTCTCTTGCTTCCTCTCGCCATGTAATCTGCTTGTACCCACCAGCTGCTGCCACTTTTCCACCATGAGTAGAAGCAGCCTGAGGCTGGTGCCAGATGCAGCTGTCCCAGAATCGTAAGCTAAATAAAACTCTTTCCTTTATAAATTACCCAGTCTCAGGTATTTCTTCTATAGCAACACAAAATGAACTAAGACACCATTTTCCTTGCATTTAAATAAGTGGTTGGCATATCTGGATGTAAAACCAGGCATCATGTCTGTTTGTTCAGAGTCCTCTGTACTCACGGTGAGAGAGGAGGCAAAGAGCAAGAGCTGCAGAGACTTTTATTGACCATTTGGCCATCAGGGTGAAATAAAATCTGGTGACCAAAGAAACAACTAAACATTTTAGTGGTCAGTTAGAACAAGGAGAGAGGGCCGGCCCGGTGGCACACTCGGTAGAGTGCGGCACTTGGGAGCGTGGCGGCGCTCCCGCCGAGGGTTCGGATCCCATATAGAGACCAGTCCGCTCACTGGTTGCGCGCAGTGCGGGCACGACACCGAGGGCTGCGATCCCATTACTGGTCACGAAAAAAGACAAAAAGGAAAAAAAGAAACGCGCAGTGCGGGCGCGACACCGAGGGCTGCGATCCCATTACTGGTCACGAAAAAAGACAAAAAGGAAAAAAAGAAAAAAGAACAAGGAGAGATACTTTAACAAAAAAGATTCTGGTGTCAAAAAGCACTGTTGCATGGCTCCCGTCTCACCAATTATTTCTTATTGTGCCCAGGACATTTTCTTAGTCAGTACAGAGTGTTTGTGTATTTCTTTTAGCTCAACCAGGTGAAGACAGAGTCTTTTTGCTTTTTTATATTTTTTTAATTTTTTTGGCTAATATTGTCATCCACTGTCCTTCTTATCATCATTATCATCAAAAAGCACTTATTAAGCAATTCATTCCACATGACATAGGGCACAAAGCATCATCTAGACACTGTGGTTTCTGTCCTCCATTTGTTCTGTCTGAATCACACAATGAGGACACAAAATCCTTAAGAGCCACCTCCTTTTTTCCTGTTTCTAGTACTTAATTTTTGAAAAAGGAATGACAGGCAGAATAGCCTCTCCTTTCCTTCATTTAGGGTCCTTTTCCTTTTATCTCCTTCCTTATCATCTAACAATACTCAACGGTATTCCGCTACTTCCCAATTTGACCTCTTGGAAGAAGGATAAAATGCCAAGTTTTAATTATTTTCTCTCTAGGATAAATCCCCACCTGGCCAGCAGGGGAGGGGGAGAGCGGTTTAGCCCAAATGCTACATAGAGCATGGGAGGAGATTCCAGGACCTTATAATGCCCCCCTGCACCGCTGTCCCTCCCCTCGAATGTGAGCTCTGCTGGCCCTGATAATAATGCTTCAGCTCTGTAATAGCCTTCAAGAGCCTCACGTTTACAGCCACACTCTCCCTGCTGTAATAATTCCTCCTTTCTGTTATTATAGATCTCTTAACATTCTAATAAATTCTCTGTCTCTGTTGTACTCTTTTGGCAAAATAACCTTTCACATTGCATTTCCCTAGCTTGGCAGTGATATCTGCCTTGCTGTTGCAGTAGACTCTTCTTAAGCTTCCCTAATAACCTTTCCTTGACTATTGTGGTTCCTCGGGGATGTGACAGCTGTTTCTGTGCTTTTATTTTACATACCAGAGAAGATGCCTTCCCTTGGCAGTTGCATCTCTCTAGGGATACAGGAAGCTTTCCTGTCTTGCAGGCAAGCAGCCCAAAGGGACCTTCCTCATTAAGGGCTACAGTGTACGGATGGCCCCCCACCTGCGAAGAGATTCCAAGAAAGAATCCTGCTTTGAACTGACCTCCCAGGATAGGCGCAGCTACGAGGTAGGACGAACCGAGGAGGTGGTGATGCTCATTAGCGTTGCAGTCTCGTTCCATGTTGCATATAAGCCTTGGTTGTGATGCTGGGTTCCAGCCTTTCTTTGTTACCTGCTCATTTCTTACCAACTAAGACCTCTTTCTTGATATGTCCTCCCTTGGCTATGTCACACCTCCTTCTGCTCTCTGTTGCCTCTCATCCTAGATGCTGCCTTTGCTTGGCTCCCATCTCTTGAGCCCTCCCCTTCCCCGTCTCACCCATAGGTGAGATTCTTGTCTACGGCAGCACACAATCCAGTTCCTTGCTCATAGTCTCTACTTTAATGGCTCTAATTCCCATTCTCTTTATTTTTCAACTGATTCTCACTTCCCCCCCACGAAATTCAGAAAAAGGAAAATCTAACTGTAGAGTGAAAATTTATTTCCCAATATTCATCTTGCTATCCAAAATAACTCCCTGTGTGTAGATGCATTGCATGTCTCTGAAAGATATTTCTAAGATATTGGTGACAATGGTTTTTGGGTAGTAACAATGATAACTGAGGGGCTAGAGGACCTGGTTGGGGTAAGAAAGACTTATTCCTCACTGTGTTTATTTTTATGTATTTTGAGTCTTTCCCTCATGCATTTACTATCTATTGTAAAGTTAATTAAAACAATAAAAAAATTCTAACCATGGGAATAGTGATTTTCACCAAAAATATATTTTTACATGTGTGTATATTTTTTCTTGCTTTTTAATAATTTTTTACCTTATCACAATTTTACTAAAGCAATTTAGAAAAACTTTAGCTAACTTATGAAAAAGAACAAAACCCTGCTAAGATTAAATTAGCCACTCAAGTAACCCTTTGACTCTTCAAATTTTTCTCAGCATTTATCTTTTATATTTCTACAATATCTTAACTCTTATTTTGATTAAAATGACCTAAAATGTTCATCTTCATTATGCAATTTCTAGAATTTTTAAAAATTTAAACTAAAACTTTTCTATAGAGTTTTTTATAAATGTGTATAATATAGATGTATGCACTGTGTATGTTCCTAGGTTATTTTTATTATTAAATTCTAATGGTATTACATCCAGATAAAAGTTTATATGACAAATCTAAACCAACATCCCTATAAATTCTTTTATAGAAATACGTTTTAAAGAAACCAAGAATAGCAAAGTCTGTTAATAAGCATTATGCAGGGATCTAGGTTTCTTATGCAGCACATATCTTTATGTTACTCTTAATGGACAGATAATCTAAATGTTTTTTAGGAACAGTTATTTTAAGTTGATTCATTTAAAATAAAAAATTACTAAGGGCTAAAGCCTGACTGGCCTGTTTTGTGAATCTGAATGTATTTTATTTACTTCTTTTCTTTGGTCCATTGAATCCAAATCATTACCATGGTCTGTGGATTCTTCCTCTACAGTGTCCTTTGGATCTTTCCATTCTTATTTGTTCCCACAGCCATCACAATGGTTAAATCCCTATCACTTCACCCAGAAGACTCGTTAAGCAGCTTTCTAGTTGGTTTTCTGTCCCCAAATTTCCCTCTTCTAATCCCTCCTACCCACAACTATTGAAAGAACGTCCCACTCCATTCGATAGAGTTGGTAGTGGCTTCTTATTGCTGCATTTAAGTCTGCACTCCTCGCACTCGGAGCCCTTTTATCAACTCCCCTCTGTCCCTGACCTGTTCAGCTTCATCTGTTGCTGTTCTTCAGTCGGGCTGACTTGCCTACCTTTCCCATACATGATGTTCTCACTTCTTTTCTTTTTCACGTGGTTCCCCCTACCTGAAATGTCCAACTCCCTCCACCAGTTTCCACCAACTCTTAAAATCCATCCAAAACAGTGTGACTTCAGCAAGCCTCCCTGACCTTCTGTAGGCAGCAGTAATGCTTCCTGTTTCCTCTCAACATCCAGTTGTTACCAAATGCACCTCCTTTGTAGTGTTCCCATTTCACGTATGTTGGTTTGCATGCTTTTTTTCCTGTAAACTTTTCTCAAATAAATGCCTGATGCAGGAATAGATAATCAAATGAATGAATGCATATGGACCTGAATGTCTCGACTCAAAAAGCTGTCATCTCTGGGTATGCAAAATTGCTGAATAAAAAAAATAAGTTTGAGTGAGATATTTGGGATTTTTTTCCTAAAAGTTAAGCATGCAGAGAATCCTGAGCTTTAAACTAGACTCCAAAACTCACAGGTTCCTTTTCCTTGAACTTCCCTATCAAGATTCATGGAAATTTTAGTGAAGGTGATAAGTTAATTCACTAATTTTTTTCTAGTTTACAGCTACTAGTCCAGCTGAAGCCAGAGACTGGGTGGATCAAATAAGTTTCTTGTTAAAGGGTAAGTGTCATTGCTACAGAAATAATACTTCAGTGGATTTGCAGTTGAAGTTATATTGCATAAATATATACTTGACAGGCTTCAATGTATATTTTTCCTGCCCTTTCTCACCCCTACCCTCCCTACCACATCCCCCATATTATAACAACAAATAGTACCATCTATGAATCAAAAGGTAAAGAAATCATCAACCTGGAGATGACCTCTGACATCATAGCTCATCTACTCACCTACAGACAAGTCCATGATATTTGTAACCACTAGAAAAGGAAATCCTAACAACCACCTCAGCCCAATTCAGTGTCTCCTAACCCCTTATGTTCTGGAAAGGAAATTCATGATATCCAACTTAAAGTCACCCAGTTGCAGTTGAAGTCCAAAATCTTGTTTCTACTCTTAGGAGGAAGTAGAAATCTAAACTAATCTAGGTGGCCTTCAGAGACATTAGACACTAAAAACATTGCTATTTCCCAAGCCACAATCAAATGCTCCTTGCTTTGGTTATGAGAAGAGTCCTGCCTGAAGATGTTAAATGACTGCTCTTAGAGTACCCTCTGCTGGTCAGCCTGCTAGCATAGCAGTAACAGTGGCCTGGCAAGTAGAAGGAGTCATCCTTGAATGGGCCACTTGGTATTATGTAACCCTCATATGCCATCATGGCAGGACCCTGCTTTTTCAGAAAGGCAGAAACACCACCTTTATACACAGCCCAGGACCTAAGAAGAAGCACATAAACCTAAAAACACCAAGTCTTGGGGCCGGCCTGTGGCTCACTCGGGAGAGTGCGGTGCTGATAACACCAAGGCCACAGGTTTGGATCCCATATAGGGATGGCTGGTTAGCTCACTGGGTGAACCTGGTGCTGACAACACCAAGTCAAGGGTTAAGATCCCCTTACTGGTCATCTTTTTAAAAAATAAAAATAAAAAATAAAAACACCAAGTCTTCTCATCTCAGTTTTTTATTCTGCCGTAAGATTTTATTGTGGATACAAAGAAGGAAGCACCAGAGCTTTAATTACAAGAATTGCCTATATTACCCAGTTATGCCTTTGCTATCACAAAAACAAACTATTGCATCCACCAACAGCATCACGTATAATAGACTGGAACTAGGCAAACATGAACACTGAAGGCGAGACTACAGGGTATACTCTCATCTAGGTGCCTTGGATTTATGCGTGTAATATACCCCTAAGTGTGTAAACCTCAATAAAACTCAAAGCAGCTTTATTGAGCTGTACCCTGTGGTACTTTCAGAATCCCACATTGAAGAAATTATTCATTCCATCTTATTTTAAAACAAACAAAATAATAACATATGGTTAAAGCCACAAATGTGTCTTTGATCCTTTCCTCCTATGTGGTGGCATCAGAATTCAGATGAAAATTGTTGCAGAATCTTTATTAAAAGCCTAATCAAGTCAAACAGTTTTATTGTGTTTTGAAATGAATGTTGGATGTCTCTGCATCCTTTCCTTCCCCAGAGTACGCTGCCTGCATTCGCCCATCCTGCAGAGGCCCCTCAGCAGGGTTTCAGAGAGCACTCTGGTACACGTCAGAGAATGAACCCTCCCAGTTCCCCATTAAAATAAAAAACCAATCTCCCTGCCCTGCCCCGGTGCTCCCCAGTGCTGTAATGGCTCAACATCCGCTATGTTGTGACCCACTTTAAGGTCAGCCAGATTGTACTGTTGCAGAAGGACATGGTAACTGTGTCATTCAGCCCTTCCATTTGGTCTTGTGTTACTGCTATATTTTCCCATACCCCATTTCTTTTCCTCCCCCATTTTTGCCCATTTTTCTCTCTACATTCCTCTCCCATTTTTGCCCATTTTTCTCTCTACAAAAAAAAAAAAAAAACTTGTCTGAAATTCTGCAGTGAGATCATTTGGGGAGATGGGCTTCTGAGTGCTCAGACACTCTAAGGAAGCCACCATAGTCCTCACGGTTTGTGCGCCCTGGAGAACCACAGACCATGACTCACCTTCCAGTTTTCTACTCGATGGGCAGTGCGTGGCATGCTGGCATTTCCTCTTCTGGCCTATTTTCTTGCCTCACCTCATGTTCTCATTCACACACCCATACTTTTCAGGGCTGCTTCATCCTTATCAAGTTTTATTGCAAGGAAGGATTTATGTTGATGGTTTAAACCTGATGCAGTGCTAGTCTGGCCTTTTCTGCAGATTTCCTGCCACCAAGGCCTGCATTAGAAATAACAGCACTTAACCTAGTGTTTCATTTTCTTTTGACATGTTTTATTCTCATCCTTCCTCCTCCTTCTCCCCCTTTCTTTCCCTGCCTTATTCTTTTCTTTTTCTCCCTATCTTGATCTGTGTCCTGGCAGATCTGAGCTCCTTAACCATTCCATATGAAGAAGAGGAGGAGGAGGAAGAAGAAGAAGAAATGTACGACGATATTGATGGTTTCGATGCCCCAAATTCTGGTGCACAGTGCAGACCCATTATCTTGCCTGGGAGTGTAGGGATAAAAGAGTCTACAGAGGAGAAAGAAGAAGAGGAAATTTATGAAATCTTACCAGGTGAGAAATGTTGTCTTCCAATTACCTTCCACTAGTTTCAGAAACTTTTGACATGGTAGAAGAATATGACTTTGAAAACTCTAAAGGAAGCCAAAGCTAACCCGCATCCTCGGAAGGAGAGAATGAGGGAAACTTATGGTTCCCAGTACAGAGGCTCTGCCTTGCTCTGGGAGACAGTTGTATTTGATCAGGGGGCGTCTTTCATCTGTGCCATGTGAAGTAATTTTTCACATGTATTGACAAGGTAAATGAGTCGAGAATGATCATGTTGGTTTTCATTGGTTTACTGTGAATTTGGGGGGTTAATCATCAAAACTCTATAGTTCCAACTTCTTTTCTGTGAATTGTGAAAATAATGGAAAGTTGCTTCAAAATTATGAAGGATTTCAAAAGTCTGAAATAGGGGCCGGCCCGGTGGTGCACTGCTACAGTGCGCCGCTTGGGAGCGCAGTGGCACTCCCGCCGAGAGTTCGGATCCCACATACGGACCGGCCGCTCACTGGCTGAGCGAGGTGCGGGCGCAGCACCGAGGGTTGCGATCCGTTGCCAGACACGAAAAAAGACAAAAAAAAAAAAAATTCAGAAAGATAGCTCCTGTGGAAATTTGCCAGGAATTCAGTTCTCTGTTGAGAAATTCAAGTTAAGCCTAAATTTATAGCAATTTTAAACCTCAATCCCAGATGAACTTAGGAACTAAGGTGAATCTAACACTCAGGCCCCTGAAGACATTGCTGGTTGCTAAAAACATCTTCAATAAACAACTTGCATTGCAAAGCTTCCTTAGAAGAGAGTCCAACTCTCTGCACACTGTATTGGTCTCTTCCCTGGGGCAGAAGCCACGTCATTGCTTCCTGAGTCAAGGAGCAGGGCTGGGGCCACACATCTCCTCCCTGATGGGGACTTCACCCACCCACCAAGGAGAGCCTGCTTCTTCTCCTAGCGCTTCCAACCTCTGCCAGTCCCGACTTCCCCAGCCTTTTTGTTGTGTTTTATTATGCAAATGATATCTTGGTTGAGGTCGAGCCATTTCTTGTGTCTGAAGTTAAAAAAAAAATGATAATTTCCTCAGCAAGTCATCGTCGTTAATGAAGTTTTACAAAAACAGATACAACCAAAGGAAAATAAAATTTCACAGGTGATAAATTTTTCCAATTTCCCTGGCAGAATTCGATAGGATTGTTAAATTAAGAGTGAAGGTGTCTGTTAGAAAGCAACGAGCAGTGATGGGTAATTTTATAGAGTGGAAAATTGAATCAAATTGCTACATTAAAACACAGCTCCTCTGAGAATCTTCCCTTTCACAGTCTGCTCCGTTGCAACAGCAGGGTGCAGAAATGGATCTAATTCACAACACTCCCTAAAAGGAGATGCACTCCCCAACTTGCCGGAATCTTCCTAGTGAGCTCACATTCTGCTCACTCCTGCCCAGGCTTGAAGAAATATCCGGGTGACACTCCACTTTGGGTTACAGCTGTGGAAAAGAGCTCTGGGAAAACGTCACTGAACCACTCAGCCTTCTGGAGTGCAAAGAAAGGGCCTTTTCATGCACCATGCTTAGTTCTCAAAGGAGCCAGGGAGGACAGGGCTGATGCTCAGAGACATAGGGCAAAGGAAAGTAAAGAGAAAGGGGCTGAGATGAATTTGGGACCTTCGCCTCATCCCCGGTGGGCGCAATAAATGTATCATTGGCTTCTCAGCAACCATCTTTCTCCCATCCCCTCCTATCTTCGGCCATTGTAGCACTGCCCAGGTATCAGGTCATTCCTCCAAAATTCCTGCCTATCCCCGGTGGGCGCAATAAATGTATCATTGGCTTCTCAGCAACCATCTTTCTCCCATCCCCTGACTCCTATCTTCGGCCATTGTAGCACTGCCCAGGTATCAGGTCATTCCTCCAAAATTCCTGCCAGCTTGTATGTTGGAGTGGACCCAAGGGCATAGAGACTGGTCTGTTTTCTCGAAGAAGCCACTTACCCTGTGCCCACAACAACTGTCCATCAGAAATGAGGAAGGCCACCCAGTAGCAAAGCCAGGGTCTCTCTCTGCAGATTAGGGAAAAGCAGCTACCTTGCCTATAAGTTTCCAAAGGACACTGCCGTACCCAGCCAACAAGTTCTTTCCCAAAAGCCTCTACCGTCATAGTTCTTAGAGACAGCATTGGAGGTGGCATATATTGGCATTTAATTATATGAATATTTCAGCCACAGTCCCCATCCCCCAGCTTCCTGTCCACTCCACTCAGCTTGCTACTTCTTACTTCTGAAATTGCTGTTTGAGTTTTGCATGTGCTACACCACCAGTCCTGGAAGAATTGAGGTGCAATGTGAGGGGGCCTAACATTGTCTTCCCTCTGCCACCATCTCACAAGACCACCTACCGAGCATGTGAAAGAAAGCATGGTATCGCGGGTACAAATGCTGGCTTCAAATCAGGGTGAATCTGCTCTACCACCTACTAGCTGTGAGACCTTGAGCAAGTTACTTTCCCTCCCTTTGTCTGATTGCCTCCCCTATAAAATGGGAAAGACAAGAGTAGATATCTTAAAGAGATGCAGGGAGGAGTCTAGAACTGATATGCTTAAAGCACTCAGCACAGAGCCCTGGCATACAGTAAGCACTCAGTAAATGCTGGCTATTATTAATTTGGTGGTGTTGAAATAGGAAGTGTTATCTCCTTGAAGAGTTGAGGGATGACTAGGTCCCCGCCCTCACCGATCGGACCTGAGACCAGCCAGTTGGCCATTTCCAGCTCTGTGTAAGAAGCAGGTGAAATTGAAAAGCCTGAGCAGATGGAATGTGGGGCACACCTTCTGCTCAGGCCCATTTCTACTGCGAGGCCAGGTGCTGGTGGAGGGACAGCTGATGGTAAAGTCGGATTGTGCTAACGTTGCACACCCATCAATAGTCAAGTGATTAGGGCTCTAACATTTGTTTCATTATAACAGGTAAATGTGCTTTGTGGAGATTACTTAGCATTGACGGTTCTGCTAATCCTCCTCTTTGGGATGGGGCCTACACAAGCCCTCGCTCTCTCTACGGGGAAAGCCATGTAAGTGAGATCTCCCTTCTGGAGTATAATTTAGATAGGCTTCCAAGTAGAGAGAAAAGTGTATGTAACACATACCAAGTCAATAAAAAAATGCTTTTTCCTAATCAAAATAATGCATGAGTCATCAAATTAAAAGCACTATATCCCATTAATCATGGGATAATTAGCATTTGCTATGTGGCTAGCACTCTTTTCCCCATAAAGGACAACCAGAGCACTCATGGTTTCAGACGGACCACAAAAATGTTAGTTCTGGAAAATACGGTCTCAAGGTTGGTATCTGGTGGGATTTCTGAACATCCAATTGGAGCATATGGGGACCCTTGATTTTTTCAATCTCATTTGCAGTAGATTAAACTGCAGGGACTACCACAAAGAAATGCTAAAGCAATGTGTAGAGAAAGGGAGGCTTCCCTGAGCCCCTCTCTCCCCCGCTCCCAAAGTTTTTTTACAGGCTAGCATAGGCCCTGTTTCATGATTCAAGATTCCGTAAGAGAACAACTTTTATCAGGTTTCTCTTTGTCTGGGGCCTCAAGGCTGGAATCCAGCAAGGCGCCTGAAACCGCTGAAGAGCTGTGACTGGGGCCTTGTAGCAGCTGCGATGGCAACAGAATCCGGCTGTGTCCTCTCGAGAGATTTCATAGAGCAGGCAGAAAGAGAGACAAAGAGCCCTCCCTGTGCACATTCCGATGCGGCCCGCACTTGGAGACTCAGAAACCACATTGCTTTCTAATAAAGCATATATCTGTTTTTTTTAAATTTGAGTCAAATGGAAACAAGCATTTTGTGGAAATATTTTTCCCCTTGTACAGTTGTCTAGACCCACAGGAAGAGGGAATAGAGATAGTAAGAGGTCTAAAGAAAGATAAAAAACAGAGACCAAAATACCAAGTTTATGAAGAAGAAAAAACATCAGAGAAGAGTCAGCGCCATCACCAGGTCTCCCCTGAGCTTCCTGGCCTTTTCTCTCTCACACCCCGAGCCCCAGGCACCTGTGCTGCTCGGCTACACCAAACCGGAATCATGCTGTTTCTTCTACCTGGAATATTCCCCCTGAGCTCAGCCTATGAAACCCTACACATTCTGCTCAGATGTGTCTCCTCAGTGACATCCTCCCAGATTCTCAACTGGAGTTAAGCTTTGTTTTAGCCCTTACTATATGATTTGTATTCAGGTCTTTCTCCCCAATTAGTAGGTGCCCAGTTATTATTTGTGAAATTAAGTTCGGTGCATTCCAACTGTTGCAGTTAGCACAAATTAAGTTTAATATCTTATACATCAAGACCATGTCATGGAGATAGGTTGTAAATATTTTGAGGTAACAGTTGAGATTACCAAATACACAACAGAGAATTAGATGTGTTATTAGAATCTTGCTTGTATTTTCCATGTTGTCTGAGGACGTGCTTATAGCATTCTTGAATTTTAACATATCTGTGCACGCCGTAAAACAGTTTATTTTTACTTTTCTGCATGTTCCCTTTGCACTTTGAATCTATCTGTATTTCTGTTGCATCTGTCAACAGAGCACCTTGACATCTGGTTGCACATTGATACAGTTGGCATTTTTTAAGTTTTTGTCATTTTGTTTTGTTTGGGGAAGTGATTTCCCCTCTTTCTGATCGAGTCGTTTTTTTCTAATGTTATTCTTTCTGGTATCAGGTTTAGCCAATGTCAGAAGGGTGTCAGAGCAGCACTTCAGGGAAGGAGCCAGGTGTCATGAGAAGCTGGCTCCTCTCTGTCTCTCTGAGGTGGCTTCAGTGTCCTGTTCTCTCAGCCTCTCATTAGTGTCCCTGACATTGTGCCAAGAATGTTGATTGAAATCGACTCTCTGGATACTGAATCTCATTTGTGATGCCCCATGGTTCTCTTACGTGTTCGCACAGTTAACAGAGTCTTCTTCAGCTGTTGTCCCAATTGAGATGAGATATTTGGGGATCAAGTAGAGCATTTAATGTAATAAGTGGGCAGTAATCTTTAGAGGTTAATTTGTTTAAAACCTATGTAAGGTTGGGGTCCCATATGCCCTGTTAGGAGCAGGGACCATTATAATCTATTACTGTTTAAAGTTGAGCTAGCACATAAATTTTAATTCTCTGTTAAATGAAGATGTATTTCAGTAGATGTAACACTAAAATGCCTAATAATATTCATATAAGGAAGTTCAACAAGCTCTTTAGCCTAAATATTTTTCAAAATAGTCTCTTAAAATTAAAGTCTCATGTTACAGATTAATAAAAATGAGAAATGTAGCTATTTAACCCACCCCCTTTTGTGAGCAAAAAGACTTTTCCTGTTGCCATATAATCAGTTGTCTTGACTCTGGAGTTTGAAAGATACCAATGTAGGCTGGCCGGTTAGCTCATTTGGTTAGAGTGCAGTGTTACAACACCAAGGTCAAGGGTTCGAATCCTCTCATCAGCCAGCCGTTGTCTTGACTCTGGAGTTTGAAAGATACCAATGTAGGCTGGCCGGTTAGCTCAGTTGGTTAGAGTGCAGTGTTACAACACCAAGGTCAAGGGTTCGAATCCTCTCATCAGCCAGCCACCAAAAAGAAAGTTACCAATTTGGTTTCATGGAAATATCAGAGATAAATTGTTCCCTCTCTGTTCACATTGTGCCCTCTAGAGCTGTGAAGATGCCGAGGGGTGTGCTTTTCACAGCCAGCTGCAGAAGGCACTTCCCTTCACTGCATGACAGTGCCCCCCTCTGTTCACATTGTGCCCTCTAGAGCTGTGAAGATGCCAAGGGGTGTGCTTTTCACAGCCAGCTGCAGAAGGCACTTCCCTTCACTGCATGACAGTGCCCCATACTCAGTCTTCCAAAGGCCCTAGAGGCACAGCACCCAGCCCATCAATAGAAAGGCTTCTTGACTTGAGCCCACTTCCAGCCACCCGGGAAGGACATTAGATAGAACAGATGTGGGGACTGGAGCTTCCCCGTTCACATCCATCACCAGAGAGCTTAGTAATGGCGATGAATGATATGTAAGCTCTTCGGCCAGCGTTTTTCTTTCTTTCTAGGTGACTCCAAAGGCGCGATGGAGAGTATCTGGTCTGGAATTGAACTGCAGAAAACAGATTTCTATTTTTTCCATTTTTATATCATGACTAGATTAAGTGCTATTGCCTGAAAGGATAAAGGAATCAAGTTTTAGTTTTCATTTTTATCATTGCAAATACATTTACATTCTCCTATTTTACAAATGCAAAGAGCAGGCAAGCCACTTTCAATAATTTATTTTAAAATCAATGCTAATGAGGTTATGTCTCGTCAGTGGCCGAGTTTTACAATAAAGTCTGATTTATTTAGAAAAGATCTTTGGTGTAGCTTCCCATCTAATGGTGGTGGGAAGGAGGTGGACTAGCAGGCACGGTGACCCTCCAACTTCAGATCCAATTTGTAATTCACAGCGGAGATCTGACCCAATTTACATTGATTAGAATTGGGAGGAAGAGACAGCTGCGCACAGACAGCAGAGGTAGAATAAACACTCTCTGCAAAAGTGCCTGAGCACAGCAAATTATTGGTCTTTGTGATTGAGTTGTTTGATATCAGCAAAAGAGCTGCTCTCTGTCCAAATTATTGGGTATCTCTAAAACCGAAGATGTACCAAGTCTGGCTCTAATGTTTTGAATCCTGTAAAATCAGTCCCATGTCAAAAAAGGAAAAGCATCATAGCAGAGGAAGGAAGGAAGTGGACAAATAATGAGAAGACAATGTGCAAAGAATGATGTTTAACGCGATTTATTTCGGCATGATCTATTTCCTATATTTGATTTCACTCCTCCATTATCTCACATCTTTATTCTCAGGGTGGGGTTGGGGAGCACTACAGGTGGTAAGTAGGAAATTCTCTGCTGCCAGACGGATCATACATGGAGATAGGCATTGTTGAGTCAAAGTGCTTCTTTTCCCATAGCATCTTGTAAAGCAAACATATTTTTGTTATTTATCTTGGTAAAAGGTGATTTATTTTTCCAGAGCGTCAGTCTCTTAATTTTTATTTTTGCAGGGAACAGCATCATTTTTCATGTGAAATCAATTATTTCTTTAATATTCTGTAGTGTCTTACCATTTTTATGCTGTTTCTTCTGACCTATGAGCTTCAAGTTTACTTCCCTCATTCTGACATATCAGAACTCATATTGCCATATAAACCTTATATTTTTTTAAAAAGGGGGGATTGTCCCTAGACCATCTCCTTAAAAGTTCCATTTAGGGCTGGCCCGGTGGCGCACTGGATAGTGCGCCGCTTGGGAAGCGCGGCGGCGCTCCTGCCCGCGGGGTCCGAGCCCCCATAC